GAATAAATTAAGAAATGCTTAAAAATAAAAATTGAGAACCTAGAAAGAATAGTCTGGGGCAAAGTATCATTAACTTAAATGCACGTAGCACTTTGTAGATTTTAAAGGCATTTTCTATGCATTACATTAGTTGATCCTTTCGTTTAGACAATCCCTCTGAGATGTCAGAGCATCTCATTTTATACGTTGAGAAGTAGAAGTAGTGGACTAATAATATGTCTCTGAATCAGGTACCTCCAATTGATCGCTCCATAATTAAGAAATGCCACTAGAGATGTTGTTGTTGTGTGCCTAAGATTGAATTCGGGCTCATAGTCACCCTATGGGACAGACTAGAACTGCTTCAAAGAGTTTCCTAAGCTTTCATCTTCAATACAGCAGGTTGCTAGGTCTTTATTCCTGCAAAGCAGCTGGTGGATTTAAAGTGCTAGTAATTGAGTGCTTAGCCACTGAGTCAGCAAGGCTCCTAAGAGATATTACTGTAAAGTATGCTTATAGTATTTTCTCTTCTATCTTAAAAAAAATCATAATAGAATTTCAAGGAAAAATATTCAGACAGCGGAATCAGATTTTTATAAAGAATTGTATCTTAATTGCTACATTCTACAAACTTCTAAAAATTGGTACAGTACCCATAGATGCTTTTTTTCCCCCAAAAGGTGAAAGACAGGGGTAGAGGAGTAACTAATTGAAGCCTCTTTATTATTCTAGGTCTTTTTTTTTTCAAGGTGGGGGGGATGTAAACAATTTTTACGTTTTTTTATAAAATACAGATAAATTGTGTCTGATAATGGTGAGTCAAGTGTACTTTTATTCTAGTTAGGCTATGAGAGAGTATTGAAACCATTCAGAAAGGAATTATCGACACCTACACATATTACATGCTCAAGCACATGGTCATATATCGATCTAGTATCTTTCATACTTTTTTTTTTAGCTGGCGCGGGCAGTGGAAGATATCTTGAGAAAAAAAGTACCCTAATAAAGCATAGCAAATGAAATGCTCTGATGTACAGAATTGTCACCAGCATACTGTCATCAATAAGCACTTTCACTCTATTGTTTTAAGCACCAAGAAGTTGCATCAAGAAGATGTCTAATTAAAATAGGTTGCAACTTTGTTGATTCTGATTACTTCAACATTTACTTTCTCAAATTAACTTACCACTCTTTAACAGTTACTTCTCTAATGCCTTCGCCAATGTCCGAGAGTTTGAATTGAACAATCTGTCCATGTAGAGCTTCAAAGACAAATGAGAAATTATCCCATTAAATATGTAAAATATTGCCAACAAATACTCTCACACCTAAAATTACAAAATATGCTTAAGCCTAGGCAGAAAGAAGCCATTCTATTTTACAGATGGAAAAATAGCATAATTAATTCTTCAAAGTGTAAACCATCATTTATTACTATTAAAATTTTCAATTGGGAGGACTCTATGAATAAATGAAGAAAAAAACAGAGTTGAAGAAAAGAAGAGGGAGAGAAATTAACTGACTTAATCCATTCAAAGTACAAAGATCTTTGCTTTGTCTGCTGATAAACGCCAAGCATATATAGCAGTGTCTTAGCTTATACTTACTAGTAGATGATCAATGAGTATTTGTTGTTGGATGAATTCTCACAATACTTATCCAATGAGGCAGATACTATGATTACTCTCGTTTTCCAGATGATGAGACAGAAATTTAAAAATCTGTCAAAGTTACACACCTAGTCCCAGTAGACCAGAAACCCAAGTAGCTTACAGTTGGTGAACCACAAAGCTCATGATAAATACTTTGAGCCAGAGCAGAAATTTAGGAATTTCTGAATGAAGAGCCTTAATTATTTACAGGAAATAATAAGACATGGTCAACTTTTGAAAACAGAATTTTAAAAATGTGGTGAAGGTCAGGTTTACAGAACATAAAGTTACAGATGGGAAAACTGATAATGGTAGTGGCTTTCCTGGAATTTACTTTCTGATACCAGCCCAGGATAAGGTTCCACAAACCAAAAGTGCAACAATGCAGCTTTTTAAGTGGTTCTTTAGTAGGGTTCTGAATAGATCATCAGATTTCAAAACTGATCATTAGAAGAAGAAAAATTCAGTGCCTTTGCCCACTCTAGTACTTTACGGTTCAAGTCCTTTACAGAGGTTAGAAAAAGACAATGCCTTCTGTTAAATAACAGGTCTCCGGAAGGCGGTTCCTAAATAGTTGGGGAGAAGGTAACTAAATGGTAATATCATGGAATTTTCTATTTAGGAGCATTTCTGCCTGGTTTTATCACACCAACTTTGTGTGACAAATCAAGGGCCTCACCCAACAACTGAAATCAACAACAAATTTATCTTGACAGAAATCTATCTCAATGTTGGCACAGGTTTTATTAAGAAGCTTGTGGAAATCAAACCTTTTGCCATTGAGTTGATTCCAATTCATAGCAACCCTTTAGGAAAGGGTAGTAGGGCTTCTCCTTAGGGTTTCTGAGACTGTATCTTTCCGAGAACAATAGACTTACCTCTCTCCCAAAAAGCAGCTGCTGGGCTTGAACCACCATCTTTACAGTGAGCACGTCAACACATAACCCACCATGCCACCAGGGTTCCTTGTGTGGACAGGGCTAGGAGAGTAAT